TTTCTAAGCTGTTCTCTGGCAACAACGTATAATATAAAGAACAGTAGGAGCCCTTTAATCTGATATATGTGGTCTGGAGGGTTGTTAACTTGTTATGGAGGATAAGGGGAAAAATTGTGACTTGTTCCTTTTTTTGAGGATGAATGTTGCATAGCATCATGTCAAAACTTTTATGACAAATAAACCAAAAAATGTCTTAGCTTTTCTGTGTATGTTCATCGGGATTTATCAAGAAGCAACGTGGGATAGTGCAAGGTGCTCTATGGTCTCCAAATTCCATTGGGGAATAGCCTTAGGGGAAAAAGCCTTTTGGTGTCTGTCAGTGGGATGTGATCAGGCTGCGCAGTGTCTTCATTTGCAGAACGCACCTGTCCTGTGAGAACTATCTGCAGTGTCACCTGGGACCATCTCAACACAGAACATAGCTGAGTAGCATTTCAGCCCTACAGGGTTTACAGGCGTTTCCGTGTGCATACAGGTTCCAGGCCTGACAGGTGTAATGGTAAGAGCCCTCTTTCTTCTCCCCCTGCCATGTGTCCAGTTCTGGAGCTGTTTGAAATTTTGGGAGAGGAGGTAGGCTCGTAAGTGCAGAACTGCTTTGTCACCATTGCAGCTGATACAACAATAATTCTCAGAAAGATGCTGTAAAAATAAATGTCTGCATTTTGAAATGTTTACTTCTCGGTTTCTCTGCAGCTGTTGCCCTACTGACCTTTAATATTATTTTGCATCTTGTCTCCTGCTTGCTTTAGTACTTTTTAGAGGGGATGGGGGAATCTTCCTTTTTTAATTTCCCTATTTTCAGTCTCAGCTTGTTTCTTCTTTTTATGCCCTATATTTTTGTGGTGATTAGCCACACCAGTATTTTAAGTGTGGACTGTTGATCTGGACAGTTTCAGGTGTCCAATGTCATTCACGTGTGTGGCCATTAACAAAGTTGCTCCGTAGTTTCATTGAAATTTCATTTGCATGCAGGCTTTCCAAGCTGAGATCATGGTACCGCACTTTTACTTTCATAGTTTATCCTGGCCTCTCAATTAGCAATCAATTCTGCTTATATAAACAACAAGTAAAATAAGAAATATCATCAACAGAAGGGTTAAAAATACTAACTGAAAACAGGCACCTCAGTACCAAAAGTTGTCAGACATTCTTTCATGCTATGTGTGTAAATAAAACAGGAAGTTATAGCTTCTTCAGGGGTGATGAAAGGGAGAGTTGAAGAACAGCTTTCTGCAGTATTTTGTGAGAGGCAGAAAACTCGAGCAGACAGAGCATTGCCTCGGAGCAGAGAGTTCTGGCTTCCTTTCCTGACTTCAGCTATTGCATTGCAAAATTTAAGTGCACGAAGTTTTGCTTAAGCCAATTACTACTTGGGGGGGGGGGTATTTCCAAAGACTGAGGTCTTTCAAAATGACCTTTTGAAATTTTTCTGTGAAGTTTTTGAGCATTAGGGAGAAGGTAAGAAGGTTAGTTTCCAAGCTGAGGGCACGAAATGTCTGTCCAACCATTTCACTGAGCCCCTTTGAAATTCTGGCGCTTTTGTGCCTGAGCAGAATGCAGGCACTCTAACAAATCTGATGATTAGTGCAAGTGTGATGCTTGAGATGTTTTAGCTTGTACAGAACAGATCTTGCCCACTCCTAACCCCCAGCTGCTTAATGTAGAGTGCAGCACACAGAAGACCGCTGTGAAACTTCATTTGCTGTTGCCTCTCTTTAAAGCTGTGCCAGCAACCGTACAGCACGGTCGTTTCACTGAAAATATACAGAGCTCCTCATTGTCTTATTAAACTGCTGCTTAACAATCTCAAAGCATGACATTAATCCTTAGCTCTGTTGTAGTACACCTTGGTTAACAAACATGCGTCACAGTTTTAGTCCAATGACAAGCGTGATTTCTGGATTTTGGGGCCCTATTCAGTCTTTTACGGTTGGTGGAAAGAATCTTTTTTAATTGCGGTGGGTTCTGTCTCTAGTGGACCTGCTGTTCTCTGTAACTGATGAACCCTTAGGAGAGCAATGGAATTTTTGGTATTTACTGCTCTGTCTGCAGCAAGGCTTATCTTGAAAGTCTGATACTTGGTGCTAGATTTCAAGAGGTGGAAATCAGAACGCAGCACAGGAAGCTGTGTTAGGAACAAATGGGATCTGCATGAGGTACAGGGAGAGAGTTAGGAATTCATTCTGGTACACCTCTGTGTTGCTGCGTTAATGCAGGATTGCTGTGCTGGAAGAGCAGTGCCTGTGTTTGCATAAATGTCACACCTCAGCAGAGATCAAAGGCTGGATGAGAAAGAAACGCTAGTGCCTGTAGAAGTGCCTGTGAGGTAATCGGTTACAAGCAGTCAAGCACTGTAGGGGTATCCATCTACTGCTTCTGTTTCACAGCATTCACAGACTGTTGGTGTACCAGAAGGTTTCCAAAGCAGTATTTTCCCCTCTTTACAGTAAAAACATGTATGCATTAATGGTAGGAAATCCGTTCTTTAGAAGTTGAGTTAGTAGGGGGGGTGTAAGTTGCAAAGGCATTTTTAGGAGTTAATAAAATACGTCCCATTCCATCTCGTTGGTGTAGAAGGTACTTCTGTGCTGTCCAGGTGCTGAGAAAACAAGTGTGTTTTTTTGAGACTATAAGTACCGTGTTCTATGGTACCAATACTTGGTGCAGATATTCTGAAGTTATTTCTACTGAATAGACAGGCCGTTTCTGCCAAAAACGTTTTATCCTTTTTTGACATTCAGACTTCAGTTTTAATGCGAAACCCGGTAAACAAAGGACAGACTCAGTGAATCTGACTGGCAGTGCGTGCACAAAAAGGGTAACTTGCTTAACTTCTTGTTGGCAAAGATGATGGAGAATCTTTGTAACGATCAATGGAAAAGAGAAAAATAACAATCAGAACAAGTGCTGTAGGGTATCAAGTTGAAAGACCAACTTGTTTTTAATATGTGGCAGAGTGGTTTAAAAGATCTGATTCCCAGCGAAATACTTCTCAGTAACATTTTTCCCATTCCTGCACATCCTTTTCTTTGCTAAAAGGGAAAGGTGGATGTTTCACTCCCTCCAGTTATCAAAATGCCAAAGGGACTGGGATAAGGTTTGAGGTTAATTGAGGCCACTTTCTGTACTGAAGGAGGGCTGCTGCCCTTCGGGAAATGACTGCAGTGGCTTTCAGGTGGCAGATGGTCAGCTAGTTAGTTAGGCTGGTACCGGGCGTTTCAGCAGTTGTTGGTGACTGAGGGTATACGACCATTGAGGTTAAAGGTTAACTTGCTCCCAGGAGCTCTAACAGTGAAGGGGAGAAAGAGAAACTCCTTGTTCCGATAGTTTTTCTTCAGATCTGGTACAAAATGGAAAGAGTTTTAGCTAGCCACATGAAAAATAAGCAAAACATTGCTTGTTTTTTTTTTTTTTCTTGTTTCTAGAACACAGCCTTGAAGTAGTTAACAGGTTACATCAGGAGCAATTCATTTGGTTCAACCTATATTTAGTTTACTGGATGAACCTTTAGGTTGTGAAATGTACGCTGTGTGTTCTTGTTCTTCTGCTAGAATGAAATATTTAAAAGAGGAAATGTTTTCAGTAATATTCCAGGAATCTTTGAATAAACTCTGTTCCTATCAGCATGAATGGTTAAAATTTGAGCTTTTGGCCCCTTGAAAACAAACGTGTTTCTACTTTGATTAAAATTCTGCTCTGCCAGCATAAAGGAGTTAAAACCGCAACCTCATGCCACAGTAAAATAAGTAGGTGGAGGGGAATCCCCAGATGGCACAGAGCTGCCAGAGCTGCTTCTGCATAGGGTCCTCTTCTTTGCTACCAGCGCACCCAGTGCCTCCTGTCGTGGGCTTGGAAAAGCAGTTCTTCCTTCCAGGTTTACAGAGAAAGCAGGGCAGTTAGTCCATATAGCCATTGTTTCTCTGGTGGGCTTGAGCAGACAGAATGTTGGCAAACTAAAATCCATCTGGGATGGCCCCATTCCGGAGCCGAATTGACCAAAATTGATGCATCGTTTTGCCCTTTTTCAAGTTGCTTATGAAAACCTCCAAGCCAAGTGCTGCCTTAGGATTTCTGCTTTTGCATCACTGGAAATGGTTGGCAAGACTGTTGCTTCAAATGTCTGCACCGAGTTAGGGGCTTCCCGTAATAAATGATGTTAAGACTGAGAATAAAATCAGTGTGTTTGACATAGAGTCTGCTGGCAATATTCTTCTGGCCATAGGGGCATAAAAAATGTTGCACTTCTGCGCTCCGTGCACAACCTGTCCTTGCGTTCAGATCATCATATCCACTCTTTAGACCTTTTGCATGGTACAGCTTTCATCTGCAGGGGAGTGCTGTCTTGATACGAATTCTACGGTATCAGGAGAATCAAAATATTGTAAGTGTCATGGCATTCTTAGAGTTGCCTAGCCTTATCCAAAATAAGAAACAATAAGTACTAATCTTCATGCTTGTCTTACAAAGTTTTGCCTTTAAAAGGACTTCAGAATTAAGTAACAAAGAATAGAAGGTAGATCGAAAGTTAGTCAATATACATTGAAAAGGGGAATGCAGAGATAGATAAAAACTTTACAGGTAATTCACTAGTCGTTCTTTAACAGGCTTTACTGTTTGGAGAGTAGAAGAACAAGAGCACATCTCTGTTATGAAGAAGAAAAAGCAGTTCAGTAATTACAGATTTTGTTAAAAAGAAAGGAGGGAATGCAAAGGAATGCACTAGAGCTGGTCAAGAGATACAGAGAAGCAAGGGGCAGCTTTCTTAAAAGGAAGCGTTATTTTTAATGCAGTGTTTTGGTGTGTATTTATGAAAGACCAAACCTAAGCACCTTGTAGGAGAGTACTCTGCCTGTGGTACAAAACTTCTTCACTAACTAGGCTCAGGACTTTCAGTGTTGCCAGTTGCTCATGACTTTCATAGCATTTTTTTGTATGCGCTACTATTTATTTTTTTTCTTATTGTGTACAAGTGTTATTGTATTTGCTTTGTTTTACAGTTGTACAATTTTGGAGAGACAGTTTCTATAGTTTTCTGGACAGATACATGGAAGCCAGAGAGCTTTTTTGACAAGATGGAGAAGAACAGGCAGAACGGAATGCACACACTGTGCTTACTTGGTAAGCAGCAGCTCCCCCGGTTCCTTAGCTACCGTCTTCCGCAGTGTCCAGAAACAACAGTGATAGGCACGAGACAACGTCTGTGATGATCAGACAAATGTTCTTAGCTAACATGTGTCTTTGAAAATATACCAAAAACTGGAATGTTAGTGTATGTGTACTTAAAGTCAGCTCAGCCGTTGTTCATGCTACAGCGGCCAGGGATTTCTTAATTCCTCTTCAAAAAATCCATAGGAAACGATGCCTTTGTAGAAGTCAAAGAGGAGCAGGAGGCCCATATTTGATCTAAAGATCAGTGTGACTTTCAGCTAGCTCAAGCTCAGATTGCAGTGACTAGCAACTATCTTTTATGGACTTAAACAGGTTAGAGCTCAACACGTTTGACTTTCTGGGGAGCTGAGTCGTATATTTAACCTCATTTCTGTTTTGTAAGATGATATTCCCTTTCCTGAGTGACCTCATCTAAGAATGTTTTGGCAAAAGGTGATTGTCACATGAGAAGCTTCGGTGCTGTAAAAAATCCTTGCTGATCACGGAGCTGGAAGGGAATACTGCTCCCACCTGAGCCCTGTCCCCAGGCTCTCCCCTGGTGCTCTCTGATCTTTGTCCTACCCCACAGTCCTCAGCTGAAAGGCACTTTCTGAGTGACTCTACTAGTCTGGGGAACTCCTTCAAGGTTATGGATCTGCCTGCATATAAACAATAAGGCACTTGCATATTTGTAGATAGAATTATATACCTTTCTGTATCGTTTCTCAGAAACAGCTGGGGTCTCTCAGTGCTAAATAAATTAATATTTTAAGTAAAAACAAATTCTGTGGTAACTGGAGGAATCCTGAGCAGGAAACAATTTAAATGTGTAAGCATCACTGCACATCGAACTTTCCAGTGCCTTGAAAGTTGTTTGTTTTCAAAATCGGCTAAAAATCAGAACTGTGGTCACTTGTTTTAAAGAAGGATGACTTCACAAGTGTTTTAACAGGGATTATTACAAGTATAATAATGTTAAAGTATTCTTTAGATAGTGTGTATCATAATTTCTACAATCTCCTTTTTATGTTTAATTTTTTACACAGTAGTGAAAAGTTCTGAATCCCATTGAAATTTAAATCTCCTGTTTCAGGGACAGCTGTGGTACCTGCATCTAATTGTAGCTCACAGCTGAAAACTACCGATTTCCCAGTTAACTGTTCCCTTAATACTACCTGTCATTCTGGTCTATGTATTGATTGTTTATCCAACTAGACTAGGTTACCGGGTAGGCAGCTGTGCCACCAAAAGGTTAGTGCCGACAAACTTGTGAATTCCAAGTGACTTCGCGGACATACAAGCAACTTGGTAAACTGTGTACTAATCATCTCGCAGCTTTGCGTTTCAAACCCTTTTCTTCAGAGAGACTTTGGTTTCAGAGCTGTTTGTATAACTTAAGCAATATTTTTTTTAAAAATCAAGATTAAAAACGTATCCAGCTTTCACTATGATACTATTTGGGGGGCATTTGAGCATGGATAACGTTGGATTGCCTCTTGGAGAGATTGCGGTCCATCAGAGTTTCGTAAAATTGCAGATGCAGAGTCTTACCTGACCCCTTCTCTATTTCATTTTTGCCCATATCCTTTTTTTTTTTTCCCTGTACAGAAGATTGTTCTAAATTTTGATTGGGACAGGAAGGAAGTGTTAACGAAAGTCAGGTTCCTGCACGGCCATGATGTAATCACTGTCGATCAGTCATACTTGCTTTACCTTTTGTGACCGCAATGTACTCGTAATTTAAGAGTAGTCCCGGTGATACCCTGGTGTGCGTAAACATGTGGCATTGAGCTGTCGTATGGTAAATATGCCTGCCACTTGGATGCTCAGCAGTACTCGTATTCATCTACGTTGCTCTGAGATCTGTGACACTTGCCCTTCTTTGGGTAAAACCACATGCATAACATCACTGTACTTTGCGATTAATGAAGCAGCAGAATGTGATCCGTGTTCCTTTTCCCTGTAACAGCCAAAATGTTGTTATAAAGTTTATAGAATCTGCTGCTTAAATTAAGCTTTACCTACATAGAAAACGAAGTGGGCAGTTTGTAGGGAACCTGTGTTTTAATACCCATTCTGTTTCTACAGATATTAAAGTGAAGGAGCAGTCTCTGGAGAATCTAATGAAGTGAGTCACTGTTTTGAAAATACATAGACACACACACACAGTGTATCTACAAAGGGGTTTTTGTGCAAGGAACAAAGCACTTTGCCCATAGTCCAGCACTGAACTTACCTGCCTTCTCCTCTCGTACTTCTCAGCGCCCACAGCCTTTTTGTTTCTTACAAGAAGTTGAACTTTGTTGTTCGTTACAATAGGACCTGGCTTTATTTCAGTAACTGAATGAAGTTGCAGCAGGGCATGATGTTTTTTTTTAACTGTTTCTGTGAGAAGCATTAAGTCAGAACGGGGCAAGTTGTCTGCTTGGCAAATGAAGTGTTATTTTACTACTGTTCTGTCCCGTCCTGAAACAGATTAATAGCTGAAGCAGCGTTCTGAATTCATTCTTCCTTACGCTGGCTAGAAGCGGTGTGAAGTGCTGCATACATACCACCCTTTGTGATCAGCTAAATAAGCAACGTATAGAAAATGCTCTTAAGTTCATTTGACTGTATTCAAAAAAGCTCTTGCCACATCTTAATCATCTCTCTGCAGTCTGTATGTTTTGACAGCAGCGAACAGAAATGGTTACTTTATACGCATTCTGTAACTCTGGTCTAAATTAAACATTTGTGAAGTCTCACAGTATCATTGAGGTTTGTTTATTCTGGAGTTTCAAAATAAAATCTGTTTGACTGAATCCACAGTTGGCAAAGAAAGCAGCATTTCATTTAAGAATATATTTCTAGCCTGTAATCATCTGTCTACAGGGCATTTGACAGAAAAACAGTAGTTGGCCCTTAAATTTAAGTCTAATGCAGCTTTCAGGAGTAGCTGCAAAACCTGCATATTGCTTCCAGCAGCTGAATTTGCTTTTAAAACTCAAATGATCTGCCAGCTGTAGGCCCTGCTGTTTCACAGGTGTGGTGAGAGCACAAGAGACTTCTGTCTTCCTTACAAATCCCACTCTTGTCTAATAGGCCCAGCCTGAAAGCCTGGGCCTCTGTAAGTTCAATTTGCTGGTCTAGAGGTTTCTTGAAATAAACTGTAAGAACGCTAGGGGTAATGAAATGAAGTTTCTCTACTTTTCCTTCCCTGCAGAGGAAGGAAGATTTACGAGCCACCACGCTACATGAGTGTGAATCAAGCTGCAGAACAGCTTCTTGCCATTATTCAAAACAGGAGGCTTCAGGGAGAAGAACCAGGTACTTCACTGTGATGTTTCTGTCTGCTACTGCCCCTCTCAAGTCACACTGAGGGATGAGCCTCTGAGCTCTACTCCCTTCCTCTCGATCTTAAGCACTTTCTTGCTCTGCAGTGGAACTGGGCTGCCTTAAATCCCGGTCATGAGATGGCTTTGGCAGAGCTTGGACACAGTGTTGTTCAGTGAGCAGCGATGAACGTGCGCTAGTGGCTCCTGGGGGTTTAGCCAAAGCCTCGGTTTGGTAACCCTGCACTGTTTCCAGCCATCTTTAACTGTGAGCTCTTTGATCCTGGAGTTGCAGGAGGCAGAAGGATTCTGAGCATTTTAGATCAGCCAAGCTTCAAAAATCTCTGCTACTTTTTGTTTAGACTGGTCACCCTCTGCTCTACATGAATACCAGCACGAATCTAGGTTAACCCAATGATGCAGAACTGCGATTTCGACCTTGAATTCTTAACACTAGTGAAGAGCAAACTGTGAAAGATGTTCATTGAGACCAAGGGTGAAATCACAGCAGCTATAAAGATAACTCGGTTGTGTCACAGGGGAAAAAAAAAATAAATCTTTCTAATAGAAATTCATCTGGCTCTAGTGCTTTTTAAAGTTCATTAAATACTGTTAAAATGAAAATCCTTTCACTTTATCCTTTGTATAGAATGTGCAGCAGTTTCCTCAATGTGAGCACAATTCCTGAATGGATTTCATATTCTACTCCTGATGCCTTCCCCTTCTTGCTTATAAACATCCCTAAGACACAGCTTTATTTTCTTTCAGGAACAAGCTTCTGTCTAGGCCACTCTGTGATTCATTAATTGGGAGCTTTAAGAAAGCAGTATCAAAGTTTAAGCATTTTGAGTACTTTTTCCTTTATGACAGGACCATTAGTCAGTAAATTAAGCATTTAATCTTCTTTCTTCCAGGAATTACTGAAGACACAATTTGTGTTGGCCTCGCACGTGTGGGTGCTGCGGATCAGAAGATTGCTTCAGGCACGCTGCAGCAGATGTCCACAGTGGAGTTAGGCGGTCCACTACACTCCTTGATTGTTGCAGGCACTATGCATCCTCTGGAATTAGAAATGCTTAAGCTTTTTTCTGTAGATAGTTCCAGTTTTGAAAATAATGAACTTCAAAGGACCACTTAAATAAAAAGGAGGAATTTAAAATTTTATTCCATCTTTAATTTCATGACAGCGTAACGTTATTCCTGTGAATATTTAGAGCTTGCCTAAGTGGAGTTAAATTACATATTGCTTCAAGAGACAACACTGTAGGAACATGGACCTGCTTTTCCCTGAGGCTACAAACTGCAGCCGCTTATATCAGCTTCTACCACGTAGACACCTCCAGAAACCTTTAAACCTTAAAAGCCCTTTGTCAGAGTCGGTTCATTGTCATCTGCATCGGTCTTAGGTTGATGCCTCGGGTAGGAAGTGCAAGCAGAGAACTGGAGAAGTGTACAGACACCCGGGTGGCATCACTCCTGCTGTAGGACATTAGCCACGGCTGTTACAAGGGCATCTTCGATGTTAAATTTTGCTTTTCGGCTTTGCAGAAACGTCGTAGTTCTCTCACCAACAGAAACCATTAGTGTGCGAAACCTGTTGGGTCTCGATCCATCTGTACACTTGAGAGAGTGAATACAGACAGGTGAGAACGTTCTTTATGTCTAAACCAAGAAAAATGAGAACTCACCCTTTGGGCAGCTGGTGAAACCGAGAGTGAAGCTGCACAGAGTTTATTTCAGAAGGTTGTGCCTTAAAATGGAGCTGGATTTCCTCCTGTGTTAATGCCAGCATTTAGGAAGTACTGGACTCTGCAGTGACCACCATTAACCTCAAGCCAATTCTCAGAAAACAGACTGCAAGAATTCTTTTCAAAATCAGCTAATGGATGGTGGTGGTTGCTATTTCACATACTCTTCACAGCAGCTATGAGAACAAAGCAGACCTTCACGCATACTTTTTTTTTAAACTGAAGATTTATTGGAAAGAAATTTGATCCCATATCTTTTCAGCAATATAGGATATTTGACATTTTATATAGACTGTATTCAAGTAGAAAAGATTACATTAAAAATTTCTAATATTGCACTTGGGACAAGTCATGGCTAAGCTACTAACATTAGCATTCCAGAACAAAATCATACATTGTCTTCAGAATTTTAGTGAGCTGCCTTGTGTCATCATTCAGATTTCTTTACAGGTGTTTTGATATAGTGTACTGCTCAACTTAAGCTCACTGCTACAAGTAATTCCTGTAATTTGAAGGTAAAGGCAAGCAATATGCTGAATGCAAGCAATACGCTGTATGCTACCAGGAATGATTTTGGTGACTTCTTCATTCACAATATTTCACACTTCAGCCAAAATACTGCAGCGATTCATTTAACTCCTGTACAAGATCCCAGCATACATATGAAAGACTTCAATGCACATGGGAAGTGAAATACCCAACTCCTTTTACACATTATTTCCGCCAAGTTACCACATAGGCAGGAACCTTTTGTGGCTCACTGCAACAGACGAGTAGATTAACCAGTATTAGCACACAGTGAGGCACACGTAGCCTTCACATGCCAGGCACAGCAGAGGCCTAACTGGCCTCTTTTCACATTATAGCAGTCTCTGGCCAACGAAGTCCCAACAGGGATGGTCACTGCCACAAAGCCTGAATGGGGGAGAAATCCGAGAGGGGATCCCAGCAAGTTGCAGACAGGGATTTCCACAGAAGTGTAAAGGAGGAATTAACCACTGAGTATTGGGCATCAGAGAAACGGATTAGAAAACAGAAAAGAAAATCCCTCTATGCTCATTCCCAAACACGCTTAAAAGGGGTGAGATAATGATGGCTGCTGGGGAAAACAGGAGAGGGCTTAATTAGTAACTGAAGCTGTTGCTCTGAACTGGTATTTAAAGATCTTGTTACATGAGCACCGATTAGGATTTGCATTTTACAGAAGCATGAAGGTTTCCGAAACTGCAGGCTGCACTGTGGACAGAAAAGTCGTGAACTTTACTGATGTGATTGCACAGTGGGTGCCAAGGGTGGAAAACTGCAGTTCAGCAGCAGCTGCTCTCTCTGTATCTTGTTTACATTCCCAAAACAGCTTCACTTACAAGTTAAAAAAGAGGTAAGCTTCCTTTCCTTCCCCTTTAAACTCAGCTTTAGTTCTTCAGTAAAACCTCAGAGTATTAAGAGTCACTAAGGTCCATTTTATTACTAGCAGCAGTTTCAATTTTTATGTAAAAATAGTGTCAGCAGCTCTTCCTAATGATGCAATTAAACTTTCGTTTTAGTAAGCAGTATTACATAAAGCAGAGTCATTTATCTGGACCAGCACTTTCTGCCTTAGTTTAGCAAATTGCCTGAGTGCTCTGCAGGGGCCCTGCTGACGTGAGGAACAGGTCTATCCGCAGGTGCAGACCTACAGGATTAGCCTACACAGGACCAGTCCTCGCTGCGCATACTCTGAGGAGTAGTTTCCCACTGTTATTTACCATCAAACATTTGGGGCATTTTAATACTGACACTCGGTAGCACTTGTTTTATCTTCTCATTTTGCTGGAGGTCCTGCAAGAATGCCGTTTGCTGGCTTGGTCTTTGGGACAATGTGGGTGTAAGTTACTGTTTTCAGTCACAGAAAAGACAGACCAGTAACCCCCCAGTAAGCTTCAGCTGTATAAAACCATGGGAAAATCAGACTTCGGAAACTTGGTTCAAAATTCAGTGCTGGATACCAGGAAGCTGAGTTTCAGCAGATGATCTGCAGACATTCATCCATCTCCGTGTCAGTCATTCACACAAATCTCCGTTTAAATAATGCGATGCAGCTTCAAGACAGCGTTAAAAGTGCAGTGTTCTACACGCAGCCAAGCGTTAGGTAATTAGCAAAACACAAAATAATGGTGCTTTGACTCAGGATAAGAAAACTGCACTTTAATTGCACGATCTGTGCTCTCCTGAAACCTGAGCAAGTATCCCCTTAGTAGGTGAAAAAAAAGATAAATCGGGTATCACTCCGTTTACTGACATACTAGATGTGATTGTAGTTAGCTACCGGACAGGTCATCTCCTGTCTTTTGTAGACTTTTCTGATGCTTATCCTTTTCCAGAGAGCCCAAAAAGGCTTAAAGTCTACTTTGAACCTGACCTCCCTACACTCTCCTCAATCGTATTTAACAAACAAACTATACAGTTCTTGCTACAAAAACATCAAGTTGACCTTAAAAGCAATGAAGAAAGTGCTATCTTGGTTAGAAAACTCAGACTTTACATATGCTTCCCACGGTCCCATACATCATAATAAGCAACAAAAAGATGTCGAAAGTTACAAAAATCAAAATTGTGTAATTATAACCAGCTGATAGGCTTTTTCACTCAATTTCCAATATTTAAAAGGTTTGTGGATGTACATCTTAAAAACCACCCCCATCACCCCCAATTGCCACTCGGGCAGATCCTCACTTGGAAACAAACTGTAGCAGTTGTCTTTTCATTAAGAAAACTAAAATAGCTCAGCAACTTGGGCAGCACTGCAGGATTTCAGCAAGTCCAGGAATGCTCAGTCCCAAAACACGCTGGTATAACAATGATTTCAACCAAAGCCTGCTCTTGAGTTGTGACACAATGGCACGGTGCTTGCCTTGCGCGGTGCACAAAGGCTGGTGCTTGCCTTTGAAGTGGTATGAATTCACCTTCTCTAGCCCCAAATAGTAGTTAATATTAACGATAAAAAAAAAGTAAATCAAGACATCACGCTGTCTACCAACAAGCAGCAGTCTATACCCAACATACTACAAAACAACAGGAGGGCTGTCTGCCCTATGACCACAACCATATTTTAATCACCTTTTCTGTGAACGGCACCTTCAACTGCCATACTCAGATCCGCTGAACAGATTTTTGCAGCCTGCCCCGCACCGCGTAACCGTCACATCCCAATCCCGTCCTCCGTCGGGAGCTGCGGGCCTGGCCGAGCAGCTGCGAGGTGAGGCGGGGAGGGAGCCCGGCAGGGCGCCAGGGCCGAGATGTGGAACAGCGCAGCCAGCTGAAAGCGCGCTCTGCACCTGCATCCCCAGGAGAAGCGAACAGGATCAGAAACCAGCAACAGGGATAAAGAAGGATCTGAAGGGTGGAAGAGACTGTAAAGCTTAAAAGCAATATGTGATGTGGCTTTTCACTGCTACTTCTCTTTACAGCCAGCTTTTGGTTCCAAGCACAAGGGTACAACTCCAAACTTTGTACAAAAATCAACACTCGTGTTTCAGTATCTCATCTGGAAAATTCAGGAACCACCTATCAATTTGGCAACCATCGTGTTTTCACATGAAGCGAGATCAAAACTCAGGTGCTATACAGGAACGACAAAACGGATGCAAGAAACTCTTCATCTTTGTCGTGAATTCAGCACCGTCAGTAGCAAACCAACCATTTCTGCAAATGAATGTTTGGTACTTTCACAGTGCCTAGCACTTACTACACAGACATTGTCAGCTTCAGAGGGCCTCGATTTCAGGATCACCACGTATCAGGTACCAGAAGAATACTTAAAATCCATACCAGTCAGTAGCGGCTATCGGAAAAATGCCTGTCTTGTTTTTTACTCCACAATGTTCTGTTTGTAAAATGTCCCCTTATACAATCTTCCGTTACTAAGTTAACTACTACAGCACAGTGGAATTATCATCTGTAATACCAAGAATAGCAGATTGTCTTTGAAAACAACGCTTAGATCTGAAAGTGTAAAATGATTATAAATGCTAGAAAAATATGACAGACTGATGTTTCTGGAAAAAACAACTTACCACACTGAGATTTCCCCCCCCTCCTCCATGAAAACACACAAAGCTACATTAAGACAGTCAAAAATACCAACTTACCAACCTGGAAAAAAGCACAGTCTTAACCACCATGAACCATGGTCCTTATTTCCATTTCAGGTACAACCACCAGGAACACCACTTTTCAGTATTTGGAAAGGCAAAAGTTGTCTCACCAATCACTTTAATAAAAATGACTACAACCTATTAAAATCAAGAAGATTTAAGCTTTTACAAATAATTTAGGGATTTAATTTTCCCCACCACATAATTTGGAAGATAAAAAACTTCACGCATTGCTTCCATCACCAGCATCTTCCCTCAGCTGCCTGTTGTTTCAATGACTATG